CTTTGCAGTATTTTGATATTCGGAATAAGAAGGGTACCGATCTCTATCTGGGAGTGGACGCATTGGGCCTGAACATCTACGAAAAATCGGACAAACTGTCGCCGAAGGTATCTTTTGGTTTGCAAAGAATATAAATCACTGTTTTTTGAAAGCTGCATGTCCTTACTTTTTATTGAATGTGAGAGAATATTATTTAACGTTGAAGGTCGGATTTCCATGGTCTGAAATACGCAATATATCGTTCAACGACAAGAAGTTTGTGATCAAGCCGATCGATAAGAAAGCGAATGTAAGTGTTCATTGAATTGAAATGAACAATCAGCCCAACAAAACATATCAGACGGTCGAAACTTTTTTGTACTATGATCAGCTTTATTCAAGCTATAATTAGCTAAGTGCAGCCCATCTTGACACCCTGGGTGCGATGTTGCATGAAACTTTGGCGTAAAAAATGGTTATGATTTCGAAGTATAGAAGCTTCTACAAGAAGTTAATTATATTACATTTCAGGACTTTGTCTTCTATGCCCCAAGACTTCGCATCAACAAACGCATCCTAGCTCTGTGTATGGGTAATCACGAGCTGTACATGCGCCGTCGCAAGCCAGACACTATCGAGGTGAAGTTTGGATACATAATGTTGAATTATCAGATTTGAGAGAAGCGGAACATATTTTCGAACAGCCGGTAGGGAATTGATTCTCATTAGCCACTCTAAGCATAGTATTAGCTCGCATACGTAAAACTTTTTCTATTGTTTGCGTCAATACCACTATTCCTAACACGATGAACTAGATAACTGAACGTGGTCATCTTTTTCGATTTGAATGAACCTGTACAGATAGCTCGTTATCGCTATGGCGACAAATATTTACGACCCGTTGTGACATATGTTGAAGCTGTCGCAATAGCGCTAATCAGTCGAAGAGCGTTCGAAAGCGTAAGCAAGTGTCCTGCTGGCACAAGATTATTGTAAGAACAATATTTATTAATGGTGTTTGCCCATTTGAGAAGACTATTCTGTTGAACATATATCTGAAGAGCTGGACGGCATGTTACTAAGCCTATATACAGGTTGGCCGAAAAGTGTGGGCGTCGCATTTTTGTTCGCGGAATTTCTCATTCAGAACGAAGTTCTTTGGGTCTGAGTTTGCCTAATCAAAACGAGGACATTTAATGTGCTACTTCTACGAGGCTGGGCTCCTGCACATGCATGCAGACTTTAGCGGCTTATCCTGAAGCTAAAGCATCAGTAGAGGCTAAGAGGCTATCTGAAGGGGGTGTTCGTTGCGAACCCTTTGCAGTAAGCCTTTTACGAATCGAATACATTTTAAGACCAGGGGTTTTGTAGAGCACAGTTTGAGGATTAAGAGTGTGCTTAAAAATTAGTGAATTCTCTTCTCCATGATAGAATACGACAC